ATGGGAAAAGCTAGGCACCAAAACCAAGAACATACACACACAGGTAAACTGAGATAAAATATGCATCTTGTAAACAAAGGTGGATCATTGCTCACTCTGGGTCATAAATCACAATAGAGTGAGTGAATTTTATGCTTAGAAATATTTGATGACCACTTTGGCAGCTAAATGAATATTTTGTTTACATAAAGAAATTTAAGAATTTGGATCAACCAGGACAGGTCTTTGCTGTCAGAGATTCAAGAGAGTGTCTTCACCAAGGTACCTTTTCAGAGTTGACAGCTGTGAAAGGGATCCAACAGAAACATTTTCATCAAATGCTATTGTTTTGTCTGGACCTGTTGAGGCCAGTGCCACATTTTATATGGAGCTTTGGCTGGAGCAGAAGCAACAGCTCAGAGGATGCTGGGTGTCTGTGCAAGCTGGACAGAAGGAAATGAACCTGGAGTCTCTGGAGGAGGTGGCGGTGGGGGTATGGCAGAGAATCGGTGCTTTGTGCCCAGTAGCTCTCACCCACCCAACCAAGAGGTGTCTGTGCTGAGAAGCACATTTAAGTGATCAGCCAGTAATTTCAGCGTGTGCCAAATAGTGTTGCAGTCCTTCTTACACAGTCAGTGAATGAATGACTGAACAAGCAAGTGCTACATTAGCTCTTTATATTTAAAATAAAAAGGCGTGTATATGTGCATTAAGGTGAAACCTTAGCCATCAATTGATTTTTGTTCCATTTATGTGATTTATTTTATATTTAAGACTGTTTGATATTAATATCCAATAAAGGCTAACCTTTCACCTGCATGTTCAGACCACTGGTTTGATCCTTTAACTGCATGTGGTTCATGAATGAAGAAAGGAACTGAAAGAAGTGATTACAGTTCTTAAATCTTTAATGTAAACAGCAGTTTTGAGGGGCTTTCAAAAATCCTACAGGAAAAAATTGAAGGTATTAAATAGGAAGGGGCAATATATAAATCATACTGAAAATAACAACCATGATTTGTTTTTAAATTAAAAAATACATAAATTTTCAATTTTGTGGCCATATAGTCATGAACACACAAAAAGACAATTTGCCTTGACCAAATAGTAACATCCTCTTTCTCATACCAATGACCTGGCAGTTTCACAATATCAAAATCACAAAGTTATGACCATCTTACAAATGATAAAGAAAAAAAAAACTCAAATATTGCTTAGGAATGTTGTGTACAGCAGTCATTACAACGACAGACTCATATGAGGGAGAGACGAGCTGTTTGTAGGTGTGTTTCAATATGGTGGTGCTTGGTGTTTGTTTTTGGCAAAGCCACAGTGCAGGTGTGTACAATATGCAATAAGCAGCGGTGGGATAATAACATTAACAATACAATATTTAAAAGAAAGGCTGTTTACTGTAGTACAGTGCCTGGATTGTGAGGATTGACTTATTAACAGTCTTCAGTATATGAGTAGCATAACAGAGCGGATACAAGAAGCTATATCAAAGAAGACTTTCTCTTAAAATGTACTTTAACCTTTTTTCTGCTTTTTGGAAAACACTTAGCTGCCACAAATACTGTAAGTGAGAATGTGACAGGAAATACTGCTGGGAAGTTGACGGTAAATCCCCCGTCCTTCCCTGCTCCTGAACTACACAACCATCATCCCTCCCACCACAAAAGCCCTGAGGAAAAATAATAAAATAAACATAAAAAGACAACAAGAAAGCCAAATAAGGTATCATTTCTAAGCGTTTGTCTACAAAAATCTTCAAGGAAGAGGACAGCTGGCGCCTCAGCCAAGAAAAAGCGAATGTTTTGAAACAACAGACACAGGAGGAGAGTGAGGAAGAAGACTCAGGGCGACCAACGACAGGCCAAACATATATTTCCCAGTCTCTCAACTCCATGCATCGACCCAAGTCCCTCAAGTGCAGTGAGCCTATTAATATGCACCACTACTCTCTTATAGAAGTCTAGTGAGAAGTAATAAGGAAACAGTTCAATAAATCCTTTTTGTTTCAGTCACAGTTCACTTTTTATATCTTATGGTTTTATTCATTTTTGTTCCAGTTGATAAGAAAAGGGGACTGGTCCAGTGAGTACAATAGGTGCCGGGTGGATCTGGGGATTAGGCTCATGGGTCGGTCTTCTAGTTACAGTCATAAACAAAGTCATAGTTGCTAGGTTCTTTGGGAATCGGGGGTGGGGCCTCTGGAATCTGGATATTCTCTAAATCCAAGAGACGGAGCTTCATCTCCATGGAGAGAAGGGTGTCCATGTCAGATTTGGTGTAATCGCTGGTCATCTCCTTACCGAGGAGGGCGTTTAGACCGTCTGTCCAAACGCAGTACTGAGGAGAGAGACAGGCACAGGGAGAGCTAAACTTAAAACAAATTAGTACTGGGAAAAAAGAACCTTAGCCCATTAACACAAAAATAATAAGTTTGAAATCTACAAACTTCCAAACTCTACAGAAGCTGCTGCCAACAAACACACACCCCACCTGCGTTATAGACATGCAGACATATTAAAAAAAAAACTAACCACAAAGGGAAAAATGTTGTGTACACTTTGGCTCAGGAGAGACAGAGCAGGGACAGCTTGTTCACTCATCCTAAATACAAACCTCTAAATAAGATGTGTATTCTTCTTAGAACGTTTGTAGCTTTCGACCTTTGTGTCTGGTGTTTTACAACAATGCCATAATCAGTGAAAGACGAGAATATTCTCTTTCATGTTGCCAAGTTGTCAAAATAATTAATTTAATAATTTCATACAGTCTAAATTGTTAAAATTTTTGGATATAGTGG